TCATGAAAGATTGTGTGTGGTATGACAAATTCAGCACCCCAAAATACACTAAAAACAGCAATAATATTGAACAAAGATTTTTCATTACAAATCTGGACCATTTATAGAATATAGAATTTTGGGGTTATCTTGGTGAAGAATTTTACTTAGCCATATCACCCTTCAGACCTTGTTCACATTCACTAAAAGGTTTTTCCTGTTGTCATCTTATTTATGTCTATCAAATGCCTAGAGCCTGAAGAATCTAATCTTCAAGCATTACATGACATTTTAAATGTAACTTTGATTGCATTTACTGTATTATATTTTGATTGTGTTTTAGCCTAAATCCACACAGTGCTATTTAATTTTTTTAATGTTTGCATTTGCTTTGTTTTAAACTGTGACCAGCTTGTGAGGTTGTTAGATGCCTTGAGTCCCCATGAGGAGAAAGGCAGGATATAAATAAAGTAAATAAAATAAATGAATAAATATAACATTAACAAACATACTACTGACTAAAAACCACAACATGGGTTTCTATTTTTAATTTAGTCCTAAGATCAGAATGGCGCCAGCTTGCAATACAGATGTTTTAAGAGGCATACAATATTATTCATGATTACAATTAGCTGCAACTTACCATGCCCGGTTTATGTCTTAGTTCTTCTATACTCCTCAAGATCATGCATGCTTTGGTGACACTGCCTTTGAAAGAGAACAAGAAAATTAATTATGTTTTTCCCCCTAGTTGTGTACAACAATAGCAGTTCTCATGTCCAGGAATCCCTCTTTTCTCTTATACAGAAAAGATCCAAGAAATCCTCAAAAAGGTCCTCAGTTCTACATCAACCAATTTCCCAAGTTTCTCAACTTGTCCCTGCCCTCAGCCTAAGCATTTCCCTTTTAGTGGAAAAATGAACCAGAATGAGTTTGAGAGAATAATAATTCTATGGAAACAGTATAAACCCACAAGGAACTGAACGTACACAAGGTTTGCTTCCAAATACAACTGGGCTACATTACCTTGAGCAACTTTCAGTTGTGCCATGGTCAGCTTAATTTCTGCTGCCTTCTCAGGGTGCTGATCGGCAAACTCCTATAGGTCCAAAACAGGAACACAAATCAGGAGTCTTTCTAATAAGCTCAACTTCACAATTTGGATTGCTCCCATTCTCTATCACCTTGTATATCTTGATTTATCTGTACCAGGTGAACATACTCTTACCAAACATAGATTTAAGAGTGGGGGACACTTGCAGCAAACAATTAAATTAAACAATTAAAAGCCACGAACGCCTCTCTTGTGTAAGCCAAAGCTAGAACTGTGGTAAAATAAGTATCTCATCATGGAATTTCAACAGGAATCGCTGTATGGTACTACAGTTTGGTAATAAAAATGAAATACACAGATATAGGATGGGGACACCTGGCTTGAAAAGTAGTACATGTGAAAGAAATCTATTAGACCCAGTAGACCACATGTTGAACATGAGTCAACAGTGTGATGCAGCAGCTAAAAAAGCCAGAGTATAGTATCAAGATTGAGGGAAGTCATAGTCCCACTCTAGTCTGCCATCTTGGAATATCTGGATTTTAACTAGGATTAAGGCAACAAAACAATTGACTGTTATGCCCACATACAAGGACAAAGGATAACAGGTAACAGAAAACTATCTACACTACAAATGAGAAGAGGGGAACAAACAGATCATCAAAGTTGATCACGTTTTTCAAAAATTGACTAAAAATTATGAAATTTTAATTGAGGAAATTTGTTTCTCAAGCCAGTAGCTGCAGCCTACCTGTAAGAGCTCTATTGCTTTGGTATGCTGTTTCTCTCGACACAACTGAGCTGCCTGAATTAACACAGGGAGGAGGTGTTCGGGGCTCTGTGACTGCAAACTTGATGACAGCTTGCGGCACTGATCAGCCTGAGGAACAAGAGGGGGAAAGGTTAAAATACACATTCTGCAAATAGAAGACAAATCATAGAAATGGCAGGCTAAAAGCAACTGTGTTGAAACATTAAATCATACTGCTGTTTCTCTGTGTCAAAGAAAAGACATCAGTACAATGTTTTTAATTAAGTATGTTACTAAAGAATTTGATCAATTCTACAGAGATGTCTTATTGTAATGTTCAGAATTAGCTTTTTAAAAATATTGGTCCTCGGGTGACCTGTGTTGCAATAGCAATTAGGTAGTGAAAACCCCAATGACTTCCAAATTGTGTTCTTAAGAATATTAAGGGTTCTTGGAAACATCTCAGGAATGTTTCAATAGGTAGTCAGTTCTCCTAGAATACCATCATACTCCTAGAATACCATCATAATTTACAACAAAGAGCTAACATTTCCTGAACTGAAAGCCACAACAGTGATTCTCCTGCCGCACCCTCATTTTCTTTTACTACTACTTGAGGTTTGTGGAAGCGTGCAAGTTTGTGGGAAATAAGAATCAGTGTGATCCTGGTGAAGCAGATTTAGTCTTCAAATAAGATATAATCACTATGAGGATAGACAACATGTGCTCCCCACCCCATTCCTTCCTTCCCAAATGTATTCCTGGTTGTGCTGTGCAGAAACTGACACTCTTTCAAACAAGAACAAGATGTAAAGACCTATTAGAAGTTCTATTATTGCCCCTTAGAACAAACCATGGGGATTTGCGGAAGGCTAATTGGCCCCATGACTTCACCAACTGCTCTGTAATAGAATAAGCTGCCATCCCCGCAAAACTGTAACACGTTGAAATTGGGAAGTGAGTCCCTTGTGTTACAAGTTTATATTCTTCCCTCTTAGACAGAAGAGTTATACTCTAGCTTCCCTTTCAATGTGTTTGCCAGGCTTATGCTTGAAGTTTGTGTGTTTTTAATGGAGAAGGGAAGCACAAACCTTTATTTTGAAATGCTATATGTCTACATTGTGAAATGGATGGTTTAACTCTAAGATCCAGGAAAACCATCTAAAACTCACATAACATTACCTGGTTGGTGAACATGGCCAGCAAAGCTTTATTAAATTCTATTGCTTGGAGCTGTTTCTTGGAGAGTTTATGCTCAACACCTTCTGCGTTAGTCAGCTTCACCTTTTTCTTTGAATCAAAGACATTTTGGTCCTGTGGAAGGTAACACAATGAATCAACATAAGGCCATGCTAATGTGACACTTTTGCAAGACCCTTGCTACTCATTTTTTTGTAAAATGCTTACAAAGGAACAGTTTGGAGTAAGATCAATATCATGGAAGAATTACTAGAATAAATGTATACCTTATTAATAGTAATGATGTTATTGGCAATGACAGCAAGCAAGCCCACGTCTGTTGGCCTGTAGGGAACATGACATACATGCATTTGTAAATTTTTGTTGATTTTAATAAAGAGTTCCAACCGCCACCATTTCAAAGAAGCACTTACTTCAGTTTGATTATCTGATTGTACAACTGCAGAGCTTCCTCTGTGTGACCCTGAAGCTGGAAAATATAAGCCATCTGACCATGAATAATAGCCAGTTCTGCCTCAATGTCTTCTTCAGTCACATCCTAAGACAAATTGTAAACAAGAAAACTTAACAGTCTGTCTTGGTTAATGCCCATCATAGCTGAATAATTGGCTTCATTTTGGCCAGGAATTAAGAACAGTAAGGGTTTGATTGCACTATGTAACAAATATCTGTTTCATTTATTTTGATTTGTACCAAATTCTGTAATTGTATTTATTTATTTGCTTTTAATTACACTATGTAACACAATTTTTGTTCCTGGGTCATAAATGTTATTTCCTAATTGGATCTATCATAAAAGCATGGAAAAGGTTTATTACACTACAAAAAATTGTTTTGGTGGGATATATGCAGCACATTTTTCTATAGTTTTTCAATGAATATCTCATCAAGTCTCAACAATTCAACAGTTTGTGGCAGCCACAAAAACGAAGTTTCTGAAGTACAATTACTACTGTTAAAGTAAGTACTACACAATTAAACAAGAAATAACACTTTCAAACCAGGAACAGATTTTTTTCCAATTTTTTTTACATGCTTTGAGGCGGGGTACAACACTGTCAAAACATGCCAACATAAAATTCATACTATAAAATACATATGTTAAATCACACAGTACAAAGATTAAAATATAGTAACAACAGAATGTCAATTTAATATTTATGGTCTATTTATTGGTTAGGCCCGCCAGAAGAGATGGATCGTTTGTGTTTTAAATTCTGACAGCTCCATTAGCTGTCGCAGCTCTTCTGGCAGGTCATTCCAGCCAATGAAACAGTCTTCTTGGTTGGCCGTTGCCAGTGGTGTTCTGGCTAGTTGGAGTAAATCCTCCCCAGGGAACCTCAATACCCAAAGGCACAGATTATACAAGAGAAGATGATCCTGTAGATAACCTGGATTCAAACCATTATAAGGGAATAGACCCCACAGAAGACAAAAGCACTTCTGAGTAAATATATATAGAGAACTGCACTGCTGGTCCTGTTTATCTCAAAAGAAGTGTTTTGCAAACATTTGTATTAATTTATTGAGTTTTAAAAGTGTTTCACCTTGGCTCTGTATCATGTCCAATACCAATGTATTTATTAATTTATTTACCATCTTTATCTTGACATGGAACCCAAGGCAGATTACAAGGCCAAAAGCAAAGCTAAAAATTAATTAGTATAAAGTTAAAAAATAATTAAACAGGTCATATTAAAATGAGATTTTTTTAAAAAAAATATAAAATTATTTAAAATGTAATAAAGACAAAAATACAGAATCTCTTCCTGCATATGTACAAACAAATACAAACAATTAGATAATTTGGGCGTTTAAGCTAGGAATAAAAGTTGTAAACGTTCCAGCTGTTAGTATGAACATGTCCATCCATGGTTCTCAACCTGTGAGTTCCCAGATGTTTTGGCTTTCAACTCCCAGAAATCCTAACAGCTGGCAAACTGACTACGATTTCTGGGAGTTGTAGGCCAAAACACCTGGGGACTCACAGGTTGAGAACCACTGAATTCTATCATATCTCCCTAGCATGAATCTTTACTATCCATTCACACACAGTACAAATGTTCAAGTCTATTTAGCACAGGATATCTATTTCTCAATGTATCGACAGCAGCTTACCGAGTCTTCCGAGAGAGACTGACGACACAACTCTGCAGAAAAATAGGACATACTCATTTTAATACAGGTAGGAAGAACCAACCATGAAACTGTGCAATGAAAATAGCAGTGCAAGGGTGCAAATAATTTGAATGTTTTTTAAAATAGTAAATATGTTTATTTTAGAAAATATATTTCAAGACAAAAAACTTAAAGTCAAAAAACTTCATAAAGCAAAAACCCACAAATTACTTTTAGACAATGGTTAATTGCTGTGTGTACGTAGTGCTAATGCTAAATTAATAACACAGCACCATATAATATTAGTCTGACGGCATCATTTACCATGTCCAAGATCTCACTTAACTTTGTTATTGAGCACAGATTCATCAAGATGTTGTAAAAACAGAGAAGAAGCCTCTCGCTTTTCTGGAGTTGCTAGCATTTTTCTAAAAGAATCAGGCACAATTGAATCCTTTAACAAAGCAAGGGGAAAGCTCACAGTTCAACCTTACAATTCAATCCTCTGTTCATTACCTTCTGCTTTCTGAAGGCTTTTCATTGCTTCATTCAGTTTGCCTTGCCCTATGAAAGCACACGCAGCATTGTAGCTCAGCTCATAAGTGCCTTCCTGAAGTCCTAGATCTTCCTGGAGAAAGCAAAACGTTATTATGTTAATAATGAGAAACCTGTTTTTGAATTACAATGCAAAGCACATCACAAAGATGTAGTATTCCCTAGCACCTCTTGGGTTTATGCACATATTTTTATACCTAATTTAAAGTGCATTATTTAAAGAATTTATATTTTATCATTCTATAATAATAAATTAAAGCACCAAACAGAATAGCCACAGAATTCAAAAATAATGAAAATTTGCAAGTATAAGCACAACCAAAAAAAACCCTAATCAAGAGTAATGATCAGAATTTAAAGAACCATGTCTTTAAAGCTGCTGAGATGTGTTTTACCTATATGCCAAGTTAGCAAAAGTTAAATTAAATTGGTTTTTTTGTGTAATTCCAGTGTAGAAAAGGACCTGCCCATTGTATCTGTTATACCTTTCATTGTGTGGATGTATGAGGTGGGGGAGTGAAGCAGCAAATGTGGAGGTTAATTTAAGTGTTTGATTATTTCAGGTAAGTGGAGGGAATTCATAAAACAGCCCCAAACCAATGACGTTTTAAAAGTCAGGCTGAATCATTAGTTTCCCTCCTGAGCTCAGAAACTAATTGACATCCATTAAGGCTGATCGATTCACTTGGCTTTGCCAGCTGCATTTGACATTCTGACATCTACACTGAGAAATCACCCAACTGTTGTAGTTTAGCCTTTGATTGTGCCTGCACCTGATCTCTCTGGGGATTCTGGGCCTGTTAGTCATTCTGATGACACTGGGGATTCTGGGTCTGCAAGTCATCAGAAGAGCCTGCAAGAGACGTTAAGCCCTGAAATGAGCCATATGTGTCTGAACGACACATTCCTGAAAGGCAGTTTGTTAGGGAAGAAAAGTCAGTAACAGATCAGAGTTCAGAGGATGAAGCTGAAAATCCAGGTGGACAGACTAATGAGAAGTTAGACAGATTTACATAGAGCTTCTCGGGAGAGTTTACAAAGATCATGATGCCTATTAGCCAAGAAGTCCTTATCAGTTTCCTAGGGGAGAAGGAATGATTTTCTCTCTAGATTAGCTAGCCCAGCAGATGGATCCGTCAGTCCAGGCAACGCTGGTGTTTGAGTATATAACTACTGTCAAGTCAAGGCATTTCTAGTTCCATGTTTCCTTTCGTTCGTGTCTCGTGATTCCTAAATCTCCTACTTTGGAATTTATTCTGCTTTTGTATTCCTGGTTTTTGATGCTATTCCTGTACTATGATTTCTGTGGATTATTCTTGCTATTTGTACTTTGGATTTTTATAATTTTGTTGCTTTTCATATATATTCTTCAATAAACTGCTTTGCTATTTTACCCTGGAGTGGAGTGTGTGTTAAGTACAAGGGTGGTTCCCAGCCTTGGAATGAAACACCAACTACATTTACAAACTGTTTTCCAAGGCAGCCATATACAGACTGATATTAGCAATAAAACTTGGAGATGACTAAATTTTAGACTGGTGTATAATTCCATTTAATTTATAACTTTGGGAAGAACTGTTAAAAGAATGCTATAAAGCCCCATATAGTCTGGGACCTTTGTACCTGAATGAGCTCCTTTCTCTTTATGTTTCTGCCCAAACACTGTTATTTGAGAGAGGAACACAATGTCAAAACATCATGACTTTGGCCCTGCCTCATGTTTTTAAAATGTGTTGTTATTACTGTATTGTTTTTTTTTTGCTTTTATAAGTTCATTTATTGTTTTGTTGTGGTTGTTTTGTGATGTTGTGGGGCTTGGCCTCTTGTAAGCCGCACTGAGTCCTGCGGGAGATGGTAGCGGGGTATAAGAACAATAAATAAATAATTTGTCCATTTCTGCTAGTTCACACATCTTCATGAACCAATTTTCTTGCATTGGAGTAGTTGATTCTTCCATCTACACCTTCATTTCAACACCAAGCTAAAATTTGGTTTTGTACAAAAAACCCTCAGAATCTAAAGTTTAAATTGCTTCATATTTCTTAGGCTGCTTAAAACAGCAGTTGTCTGTACATTACTCTTGGATTACAGAACACTTAAGTAGTTGAATAACTGCATATTAGCAGACATATATCTCTGTATTTTTATAGCATTTATGCAGTCACAGGATCACAGGAAGGAGAAGTAAAGACAGAACACACACATATAAGTATATATACCACCACCACAAACTTACTTACTGGCACCACTTTTTCCCAGGTGCTCTGTGCAGCAACAACTGCAGAAAGATTTGTTTTCCTTTCTTCTTCATAGTCATCCTGGGAGTTGCGGATAAGATCCCGGTATACAGCTAGGCAGTCATCATAACGCTCTAATCTGTACAGCTAAAAGAGAACAGTTATATAACAGCTTAAGAAATGAGACAACAGACAAAATGAGCACTGCAAAAAGCATGTTTTCACAGCAATCTTTATTCCAAGCTTGTAAAAAGCAGGAAGGCATAGTACGGATTCAGGGAAATGAATCAACTGCATAAAGACCTTAAAGAGTTCTTGGCACAGCTATTTATGACCAAGGGCATCTAGCTCATGTAGATAGACATTATGCTACCCAGCTTTCTATAAATCTTGATTTTGGAAAGCAGAGCTCATGTTAAGTTTTGCTTTTTTAAATTTAACACAGCTGTCTGTTTTTAAATTAATAAATAATATTTTAATATCAATGAAAAAAGTATTAGAAATTACCAATCAACAGTCAGAAAGGAACATTACAGAATAGGCTGGACATCAAGGATAGTGTTTAAGGGTCAAAATACTGCACAATATTGATTATGTAACATACGTAACAAGAAGTATAACAAAGGTAACACAAAGTGTAAAATATGTAACACAAAGTGTAACATAGACACTTTATCAGTCTAAAAAAAATCACCATTCAACACGGCCGCTCCCATCCTTGTAGTCCAAAAGAAATGGGGGAGCAACCTTAACTTTCTCATGTATTGATCCTATTCCAGTAAAATTGAACTGATGGTCTATAAAGGCTATACTGAATACAGCCTTTACAAAAAAAAATACAATACATGATTATTCTTATAAACTGTATGAGCTTGTCAATCGCCTTTTCTAAGTATCAGCCATGAAATGAGAAACATTTGACATATCATAGGGCTATCCTGTGACTGAACCATTTAAGGACTGAAGCTTTGAGAGAATAACTACAATTAATAAAGACATTTTTTAAAATTCCAGTCTATTGAAATGGTTACGCAGCTGGGAAAGGCGCTTCAAGTTTCAGAAAGCATATTTCTCAGCCTTTTGAACTACAATCGTCTAGCTGAAGGTTTGAAAGGCTAAATTTTGGACCTTTTGCATACTTGGCGGACATTTTGCCCCAGGGCTATGGCCTCTCTTCTCTTTTAGTAGCTGAATAAAGCTGAAGCATTGGATCCAGTTTTTCCAAAAACAAAAAACAAAAAAACACAGCAATATTATCAATTACATACAGAAGAGTTTTGGAAGCAGTAATTACCACTTGTCCATAGAGCTCTTTCAGTTTGTTTGTTTGCTGGCTGACTCCTTCAATGGTTTTCATAGCATTTTCAATTCTGTTCAGTCTGTACTCACAGTAAGCCTTCTCAAACGCTATTGAATCACTGCAACACATAAATGAAAAGTGGGGTATTATTTTGCAATATCAATTTCATCCCAAGGTATTAGCATGTTCAAGTCTTATTCTTTGTTATTGAACAGTTAGAGGCATTACACTCAAAAGACTACAAAGAGAAGCATCATAGGAGGGAAAAAGAAACAGTTTGATTAATTTTGGGTTGGTCCCACTGTCAGAAACATTAAAAATTAACTAGGTATTTTAATTACAAAACCGTGAGTCAAGCACTGAAAGGGTTAAATGGATGCAATGACTCAGCAAAAGCTGTAGTTCAATATAAGTAGGTGTGTCTGTAGCTTAGTAGCCATCAGTCTGAGGGAGCCCTCAATGTTAGCAGGCCTCAGTATCATAGGCCTCAGTCTGAGGTAGCCCTCAGAGAGGCTTCAGTATGAGAAAGTCTCTGTTAGGCCTCAGTGTGAGGGAGGCCTCAGTGTGTTAGTAGGCCTCAGTGTTAGTTCGCCCCACAGTGAGAGAGGTGTGAGTCTGAGAGAGCCTTCTGTGTGAGAAGGTCTCAGTGTGAGGTAGGCCTCAGTGTTAGTAGGTCTTTGTTTGAGAAGGCCTGGTGTGAGAAGCTTTGGTGAGAGGAAGTCCCAGGTTGAAGGCCTTGTGTGTAAAGTTACTATATAAGTTTGGTGTGAGAAGATGCTCTGTGAGAGTGAAACTGTTTATCTGCATGAGAAAGAAGCCCAGTGTGGAAGCAAAGAAGGAAGTATAAAAAACTTTATTTGTTTTATGGAAACTTTGTTGCTGTAAATAGTGCAACTATATTATTTTGCTATAAGAAAAGCCTCCTATGGAAGAGATAGCATTGGCCTGTGCGTTTTTGTTCTTTTTATCACTTTTGGCTACTAGTGCTGGGTCACACTGCTACTAATAAGTTACGCTGCCATATATTTATGGGGAGGGTCTTTTGTTAATAAGCTCACTCACCCAACATCCACTACAATTCGTAAGCTTACAAAGATGTTACAGCTTACTTGGTTGATATTCTTATCAATAGCTTATTACAGTGTGCCCTTGGAATCCACAGCTGTTTGATTCCAAGACAGACCCCCCCAAATGGATGCTCATCTCCCATTATATACAATAGTATAAAAATTGTGTCCTTTATATAAAATGGCAAAATTAGAGTTTGATTTTTGGGGAGAATAATTTCAATCTGGGGATGGCAGATTTGGTGGATACAGAATCAGTGGATAGAGGATTGACTGTAAATGTATTAAATGAAGAATATTTTCGCCACCACACATTCACAGGTTTCTTTTTTCCTTTGCTGCTTATTTGACTCTGCCTCTTCACCCTATTCCTTCTGCTGCCCCTTCCATGTCCAGTAAAAAACAACAGCTCCTCACTCCATTTATTACCTTCCACTGTGAAGATTTGGCTCGATTTTAAACTCTTTTCCCAACAATCCACTTTCTCTCCTCGCTCCTTCTGACGCTGGATTTCAAATATAACAGCAACAAGAGGGAGGCGAGCAGACTGCAGGGAAAAAGGTTGAAAATCTGCCTGAGGCTTTGGGGTGGGATAGTGGAAAAGGGAGTGAGGGGTTGGAGCTGTTGATGGAAATGAAGTATGTTGCATGCTTATTTCAGGGTGCTTTAGATATTTTTTTCACTTCATGGAAGCCCTGAGCCCCTAACCCTGGCAAATATAGGGAACCAAATGTATTATATAGCCTATTTTCTTTTAAAATTTGAGATCTATTTTGATAGATACACGTGAACATGACCTATACCTGTAATCTTAAGAATGTACTAGGGAGCTCTCAAGTGTCACAACCTAACATACTTCCAGATATATATTAAGGGATGGGGAGAATCAAATATAGCTGTAATCCACTATCAAAAGAAATCTGGGGTGACAGTTCTGAACTCCACATTTGGACAAAACTTTTGGCTTTCTCAGCAAACTGATGATAATGCTTTCCATATTTTTTCATCGACTTGCTGGACTGAGCTTGGAGGGAACAACTTGAAAGAGTGAGAATAGGGAGACTGCAGGCCAGAACTTATTGTTCCATGTTCTCATCAATTTCAAGTCTGGAGAATATTTTTCTTTTTCATATTTTGAAAAAACGGAATAATTAACAAAGCCTTTCAGCTTTTTAAAAGCAAATGATGCAGTAATCATTAAAACTTACCTGGCTAATACTTTGGTGTGGGTGTGAATCACACTGAGGGCTTCCTTAAAACTTCCATTTTGTATAAGACACACCACTTTGCAGTGTAGAGCAGTAACATCGTCCTTGTTGATCTGTAATACTACAAAAAGCAAACCCAGTGTATTAATCTATTATAGGGACCTACTACCATATCCTATACTAGGACTTCTTAAACTTTTTTGACTCAGGACCTCTTTCAGCAAAAGTATGATAGCTGGGACCCAATGCTATGCTAGTTTCGTAATGCGGCTCTGAATTAAGGAAGGGAAGAGTTAAGTGAGACAACGGAGTGAGTGAGAGATGCAACTGTGTCAGAGTCCTAGGAACATTGTTTGCCAGAAAGGGGGAGAGGGAACATTTCTACCCCATTTCGTAAGCCRTTGTTTATCATTTAACAGTAAATAACTCTAACATTACTTCACTCGCCTTAAGCAGTAAGCTTGGCTGTTTGTTGTCCCCCCTTCTGACCCCCCCTTTCTGACMCAYGTTGCGCAYGTCTTCCCGTCATTAATTCTGCCCTGTGTTGTAYAACCAGCRTAGGYTCCCAGCTACTAGAGTAGGGTCCCAGCTGTCATACTTTTGCCACACTTTCCTCTCGAAAAATGTGTACATKTCAGCAYCTGTAAGGCTAAACAGRATGATCTTCCTTTTTGTTGAGTACAGCTGAAACATTTTCTGCAGAGTCCATTGTAAACACTGCATCTTGTCGCTAACAGACTGAAGTTACTAACACAACTTCAGTCTTCTCCAATCTGGAGTCCTTCAGAACTTTCAGACTACAATTTCCTGTTAATGCTGGCAGCAGCTGCTGGGGGTTACAATCCAAATAACCTGGAAGGTACTAGGAAAGTTCAGGAAAGTAAGATAACTGCAGTACAAGGGATGGCTTATTAAAGATTCCTCAGTAAGAAACAGCAATATTTTCACAATTATATAATTTTAGAAATATAGACTGGTCACACGTTCGAATATTCCTTTCCAAAAAGCAATTAAGGTAAGAGGTTTTCTTAATAGAACGGAGAGCAAAAGAGGGGTTTGCCTGCAGCAGTAAAAGAAATGATCTGAATCGGGATCAGGCAAGAAATAAATCTGCAGCTTTCGAAAGTTGTTCTCCCACTACATGAGTCAGCTTAAACCTCAATTGGTTGACTTTCCTGCCCATCAAATTAAGTACAAGGGACCACCCCCTTAAGGACATCTTTCTCCTCTACAGAAAAATAAAGAGATCTGGTAAGATATCCTGATGGCAAACATTTGAAAATAAAATTATTCAGATGCATCTTTATCTTGAAAACAGTTTGGAAAATACAACTAGTCAAGAATAAACTGGCCAGCTGGGTGCCAGGAGTAGCAGAAAGGGGTACATTATTTCAACTGTAAGGTTTCAACATTAAACACACTTAAGTGACAAGTTCCATTAAACAATGGGACTTACCTCTAAGTAATGTGTATAAATTACAGTCTTGTATAATGGTTAGACTACTGGACTAGGGTCCAAGCAATGTAGTTTGGCATCCACTTCAAAAGTATGAACTACAGCACATTTTTAGGCAGGCGAGCAGGCAACATTACAGATTGAGACTTTTCAAAGTTAGGTGCATGCTAGAAAGCAGCAACCTGGCACAGCTCAGAATGCAAGCATACACACAGCTGAATTAAACCAAACAAAAAAAAATGACGGTATACATGCAACTGTTAATAATGGATAGCATGCACACTGTGAGTAGGCTATTCCTGCAGTCTGTGTAAGAATTTGTGATGGGTCCCCTTTGTCACAGACTTCTGCAGAAAGTAATACTGTAGTATTAACGATGCAAATAAAAAAGTTCCAAACTGTTATGCAGAAATACGGTGTTTTTATCAACTACCACTGAAATCTCAAAGAAACCCTTCACACTCTGTTGACCCAAGGTCTTAATTCGCTTCTATGCCTGGTCTTCATATTCATGCCTACCCTTTTGGTTTTATTTATCGTGTCAGGAGTGAACCAAAACAGTTGTACCCTTTTGGTGAACTTTATGTAGCGCTCATGATAGTAAGTGCTTTTTTAAAAGGGAATTTATACTCGTGTCTGAGAATTCTGTGTTAGAGAATATTAAGTGTTCTTTCTAAGTGGGAAATAGCAATGTAGATTTGCTCAGCAGAGCAAGCCAGAGCTTTGCAGAGACACAGGCTTGATTGTTCTCACTTACAGTTACAGTTCATAATTGATTGATGGCATTTTCTGGGGGTGGGCAGCCTCTCTCTGGTTTGAGAGGAAACAAACTAAAGAAAAAATACAATATGCCAGTCCCACTATTGTTCGCGCACCCTTTTCCAAAATCTGAAAAACTCAAAAATTGTCCACATGAGTGGCTGAGACAGTGACATTTTTGCTCTCTGATGAATGAATGGTCTCAAATTTTGTTTCATACACAATGCAAAGCATGTTTTCTTCTTTTACCAATGCTTTTCCATGAGTACCTAGACAGTATGTATTGCATCGATTGTGCCACACCCCCTGACAAAGTCACAGATTTGGTGTATGGCAGCAGCTGCTGAGGGCTATAATCCAAACAACCTGGAAGGTACTAGGAAAGTTCAGGAAAGTAAGATAACTGCAGTACAAGGGATGCCTTATTAAAGATTCCTCAGTAAGAAACAGCAATATTTTCACAATTATATAATTTTAGAAATATAGACTGGTCAGTAAGAAATGCTTGTCCAAAAAGCCATGTCTTGACTTTTTCCTGGAATGTTAAAAGGGAGGTGGCTGATCTAATATCTATAGGGAGGCCGTTCCACAGCCGAGAGGCCACCGCCAAGAAGGCTCTGTCTCTCATCTCCACCAAATGTACTTGTGACAAAGGCAGTAATGAGAGCAGGGCCTCCCCAGATGATCTTAAGGTCCTAAATGGTTCAAAAGAGGAGATGTGTTCCGACAGGTAAGCTGGGCCAGAACCGTTTAGGGCTTTATAGGCTAAAGCCAGCACTTTGAATTGTGCTCGGTAGCAAACTGGCAGCCAATGGAGCTGGCGCAATCGATGAGTTGTAGGCTCCCTAAGCGCCACTCCTATTAGTAACCTGGCTGCCGTCGGTTGGACCATTTGAAGCTTCTGGACAGTTTTGAAAGGCAACCCCACGTAGAGTGCATTGCAGTAGTCTATATGGGGGCTGTAACCAGAGCCACCTTGATTACTGGCACCTTACCTGTCAGATGAGGCTCTGGCAAAAGTCATCATCCATGCCACGGTCATATCTAGGCTGGAGTATTGTAATGCCTTGTATGTTGGCCTTCCTATTTCTACGACCCGAAAGCTCCATATTGTCCAGAATGCTGCAGCCAGGTTACTCACAAAAGCGCCCATGAAATGCCATATAACACCAGTGCTGCGACATCTACACTGGCTCCTAATTGAGTATCGTGGTTTGTATAAGATGCTGGTCCTGACCTTTAAAACTTTATATGGCCAGGGTCCATTGTATCTTAGAGACCGTCTCTCCTTCTCCCATCATCGGAGGTCGCCACGACCATCCCAACGCGATTTGCTCTATATACCGGGTCCTAGGGAAGTGCACTTGGAAAGCACCAGACGCAGGGCCTTCTCTATTTCTGCCCCTGCCTTATGGAATTCCTTGCCTCCCTGTTTGAGAGCCATGCGTGACTCAGGGCATTTTATCCTAGCACTTAAGACCTGGCTTTTTACTAGAGCATTTGACCCATGTTAATTTTAATATTTGTATGTATGTGTTTTATCCTGTATAATTTATGCAATGTAAATCACCTGGAGCAACTCGGATGGAGGGCGATTAATAAGTAATTAAAGATGATGATGATGACTATCATTGAATGGCCTTGCAGCTTCAAAACCCAGCTGCTTCCTGTCTCAGGGAATCCTTTGTTGGTAACACACATGAAGGCCTGGCAGCTTCATGCGTGCTAAAAACGTGAGACCTGAGGATACCCAAAACAATACCCTGTGGAAACGACAGTCACACAGCTAACCCCTCCATTGAGAAAATAGCTTAGAAAGAAGAGTGTGCCTTGAGAGCAGAAGATAGTATTTCCCCTCCCTCACAAAGTCATTAAGGCAGCCAGAAAGGAGGTGGAGCAGGCCTCCAACTCCCAGAAGCCCCTGCCAGTCAAGGTTTCTGGGAGTTGGGAGGCGAAAACAAACAGCTGGAGGCCGCAGTGGGAGGACGCCCGAGGCGGGGTTCTGCGGCCCGCCATTCTCGGCGCTGCTGCAGCTGTTTGTCAGCTCAAGGGATGGATCAAGAAGGAGAAGGCCGCGCGCAAACCCCCCTCCCCCCCTTCCCACTCACTCTTATTGACAGACTTCAGCGCGCGCCCGAAGTCCCCGCTCTGCCCGCAGCGATTCACTTCGCTCCACAGCGAAGCCACCGAAGGCGCCCCTGCCCCGCCGGCACCACTTCCGCCACCCGCACCGGCCGCCATCTTGGCAGAGGAAGAGGAGTCCTACGAGAGGAGGCGGAGAGGCGGGGTGGAAAGGAGCCGGCCCTCACCTCTGCCCCCGGAAGAGGACCGTCTTCAAAGCGTCACCTACAAGTGCGCTCTCTTTGCGTGTCCTCTGCAAGCTGTGCGCATGCGCAGCCGAGAGAAGCCTAGGCGGGAGCCCAGAGCGGCTCCGTACCAGGACGCATGCGCGCGCAGTCTCAGGAGGGGGGAGGTTTGTTGATGGGTTGGCTCTTACTTGGTCTTTTGTTTTTCCTTCTCTTTTGTGTGCGTGTGGGGGGGGGGGGGGGTGACTTTATTTATTTATCTTGTCAGAAGCGAATTGAGAATACAGTTATAATGTATGAAAAGCACAAACAGTTTAAAAACTTTCCTTGTCTTTAATGGACGATTTTATATTGTTAATGTATTGTTTATAATGGTTTTGTATTTCATTTTTATTCCTTTATATTTATGCTGTGTTTTGCTGTATATTGATATATTTCGCCTCATGTAACCCCCCCCCCCCCCCCCCCGAGTTCCCATGGGGAGATGGTGGTGGGGTACAAATAAAAGTTTTTTATTATTATTACTACTCTTTAATCACCTCCACCCACCAGTTCTTTTGTTTCTTGATGCTTGTCTATTATTGTTAAGTTTGTTTTATGTTTTTAAATTGCATTTGTTATTGCTCTGCTTTTAATTGTATGTTCCCTGTGCATGGCCCCATGTAAGCCACCCTGAGTCCCTTCGGGAGATGGAGGCGGGGTAGAAAAATAAAGTTCTTCTTATAACTTGCCATTATACTAAATTTCCTTTGACAGAAGCATTCTTTGAGTGCCTCTGGTGTCGCTGTGAGGTCCTCTATTGTGCATGTGGCAAGGCTCAGGCCGCATTGTAGTCAGTGGTGTGTTGCTCTTCTCCACACTCACATGCCGTGGACTCCACTTTGTGGCCCCATTTCTTAAGATTAGCTCTACATCTCGTGGTGCCAGAGCGCAGTCTGTTCAGCACCTTCCTAGTCGCCCAGTTTTCTGTGTGCCCATGAGAGAGTTTCTCGTCTGGTCTCAGCCACTGATTGAGGTTTGGACTCTCACTTGCTGAGATGTGCCTGCGAGTATCTCTATAGATTTAGAAAGCTGTTTCTTGATTTAAGTCGTTGGCATGCTGGGTGATATCCAAACAGGATGGGCCGGGATGTCATTGCCTTGGTCCTTTAATTGCTGGCTGCTACTTCCTGGCAGATATCAGGTGGTGCAATACTGGCTAAACAGTATAATTTCTCCAGTGATGTTGACCTTCTTCCATCTGAGATCATGGTGTCAAGCCACCCTCAATTGCACACTAAAGACAGTTGTCCAGCATTTTTGGTCTATTCCCATTGCCAGTGCTGCAGTGTGCTGGTTTATGCCTGTGCTTCTATGAATATCAAATTATGGTGAGGGCAATATTTGCTCCCATCAGAAACTCTATTATTATTATTATTATTATTATTATTATTATTATTATAGTATTTATTTGTACCTTGCTCTCCAAGGGGACTCAAAGCAACATAAAAGCATCCTCATAACCATTTAAAATATACAAACATTAAAACAGGATTAAATACAGACAGTATTTTTTTAAAAAAAGTTTAAAACCACAGCACCCCCTGAAGACCATTAGTATGCAAGAGTTAGAAATTAATCAACTACAATATATTGGGCATATCCGGCTCCACCTTTCCCTCTGTTGTCCTCATTGAGTGTCATTCTTGATGCAGCTGGTATTCTTGAAACCAGGGCTTCATGACCTTTTCCTACTTTGTGGCCCCTTTCTGCCTAAGAAATTTTACATGATCCTAGGCATATAAAATAAGTATAAAAACCAAACCTCTACTTAAAATAAATCAGCATATGCAAGGCTTGCTAAACAGACTGGTTTTCCTTTTTGTGGAGTACAACTGCAGCATTTGCTGTGGAGTCCATTGGAAACACTGCATGCTGTTGTCAGCAGATTGTATTGTTGTCAATTTTTGTGACCTCAACACTAAGCTAAGGGGACCCCATTTAGGATAGGGATCTACAATTTAAAAAGCAGTGTTTGAAACACCATTGGTATCCTTCTCAGTGGTTTCACATTCAAACAGGTCTAAAAGTGTTATATTGAAAAACCCATACTTGCATTTTCATATTTCTCTGCCCATTCCCCTTTAGTTAGATTGTAAAGCTGGATGCACACATTTTCTTGTTTGGTCTTCATTTTATAAAAGCTACACCTGAATCCTTTGGCCAGAAAGTGTGGTTAAAAGTCTGAATGTTCCTACGTTGTACACATCTCTGCATCACACGCAAACCTATATTCCATTGTATAACTGTTTTAGGTATGAATTGATGCCACATTTTAAGAGCCAAGCAGCAATGCACCTGCTTCAACCAATTTACATATAGACAACAGATCTCCATAAGAAGCTTATATAAAAAATTTCCAGATTTTCAAAGATTTCCTTCACATATTGTCTGAAACCAAGTAGCACAGTGGTTAAAGCTGCTAGCTGCAGGAAAGGCTGCTGACTGGAGGGTCAACAGTTCAAAGCTGTGAGTTGAGGTGAGCTCCCGGTTGTCAGTCCTAGCTTCTGTCAACCTAGCAGTTTGAAAGCATGCAATGCGAGTAGATCAACAGGTACTGCCTTGGTGGGAAGGTAAAAGCGCGCCCTCATTAAACAACAAAATCTGGTATTTAAATTGTTTATTATTTTCTCATCAAAATTTTTCTTTGTAGAAGGATGGCAATGCTTCTCAGTGCATATTACATGAAAAAAGACATACCTTTCAAACTTCTAACCTGATAGTAAAAGACAGCACTATATGTAAAAATAAGCAAGATTGCCACAACAATGCTGTCCACACAATATGCAGAAAATACACTACCATGAAATATAATAGCATTGGCAAGAGCAGCTACAGGGAAGAGGAGAACTCATTTTGTTATAATACATGAGTGGGAAGATCACAAAGTGAGTTCACATCTATTTTTTAGCAAAGACTATTCCAGTCAGTGCAGGGAACGTCCCCAAAGGAACGTCAGGGATTTGAGAGAATCAATCTCAGCATCATGCAGTAAGCATTATGTTGCCAAATCCCAAAGACACACCTGAAAAATGTTCAGATATTTAAAATGTGGACTTGGAATACCAATAAATATCACATGTTCTTCAAACCCCACTTGTACTTGTCCATCATCTGCTCAAATGTCCTTGAATGGAGGTGGGAAATTGATCACTGGGCAACAGATTTATTTTGCATTTCCAGTTAGAACTGTGTCATTTGGAACAAAATACAAAAACTCTGCATCACCTATGCATGTGTAGGAGATACTACCGCTAAATCCAACTAGCTGTCTTCAAGTCTGACAGATCCCAAGGATGTGATAGGTTTTCTGCAGAATCTCCACACCTATGGACCTGCCATAGTGAGTGTGTGTGTAAGACAGTACATCTGTACCTTGAACGAAGATGGGATCATGCCCTTGGTTCAGCAATCAATTTTCAAATGGGAATTTGTTTGGGTGACTGAATCAAGTAGTTGACATGGCCAGCTCGCATGAACACAGAGAATAAACAAAGGCATATGAGGATCTTGCAAAGCGCCACTCCAAAAGAATTATGTCTACAAAATAGGGTAGTATATGATTAACGGGAAAGACAACGAAGAGATATGCAACAAATATTAAATATTGCAGGTTACATGTGATATTCTAACAGAACTACAATTGTGATCTAACAATACATGACTGCATAAACTGAAATATTGGCAGAATTGCTTTAAAATCTTCACAGTCAAAGATTTGTCAGGTATCAAGCTTCAACTATATATTAATACAGTAAATGATCTCTCAGGTACGTTATTACCTACAGCAAAAATGTTAGTCTTCATTTGAAAAACCTTTTTAGACCATGTATAAAATAAATAAAAAGGGGGAAATAAAAATTCTCCTTTTATACTTTGCAGACAGAGTGGGTGCAAACCACTGTGAAGTCCTGTGCAAGCCACAGGGAAAATGAAAGCTGAGCAAGAGCACTACCATTTTTTGTAACCTCTGCAGGAAAACATCTTGCTGGGTTGTGCCCATATTCAGTAGTTCTGTGGGTGTTCCATTAATCTCTCCTAACATAACAAAAATGATATAAATTGAAGCATACAATACATAGAAAGAGGAAGATTTTAAAATGTTTTAAAGTGGCTTTTAAACATAATCTGTCTTCCTTACCTCAATTGTGAGATCAGATTCCTCCCTCCCCCTCTATTTAGGGCATCAGCAAATAAAAACTTGCAAAAATGAGTACAAATGCCCCATCAATAAAAATCAGGAATCCCATTATAGTGAAAAGTTACCGCATTCTCTCACCAATGGTACAATGTTTCACCTGTGTAGAGGATTAAGTATCGCAATAGACTAATAATCTATTAGATAACTACTCTTTTTCAGCTTTTTCAGCTCTCGCTACCCAAATCCTGCAACAATGTACACGTTTGCCAATTAAGGGCACCATACAGCACTTTAAAGCGTCATTCTACTCAGGAGTAGATACAAACTGAATTCAGTGTGACTTAGTACTAAATACACATGCCTAGGATAGGGATTCACAACATTTTTGATCACATTGTGCCCTCAGCCTGTTGTCAGTTTGGTAACACAGTTGTACACAATATCTTAAAAATAACCCAGAGTCAAAAGATTGATTTTTGTTTAAACACAGTTGAAATGTTCTCCAAAGAAGAACCACCTTTAAACATGACATTGAAGTGTTCTGGTTCCCACATCAAAATAAAGCATTGAAGAAAAACAGCATTGACAATTTAAAAAGTCTAAATCAGGCAAAATGCTAAAGTTGTATGTCAAAGGAGAGGAAAAGTTGACTACACAGCGTCCTACACCTAGGGTCCCTCTGTGGAAACAGTACATTCACTTTATTGCCTGTTCCTTCTGTTGTATGGATGGCCACTGAATGACACAAAATGCCGATAGTTCTCTTTCCAACTCTTTTCACCACTGCTGCCAGCTGAAGTCATCATTGCTGCCAAAAACCAAGAAAAACCCTAGGATGGTAGCAAATATGACCGTATTTCCTGTGAGGACAAGTGCACAGGCTCCCCAATAAATCTGTAAGTAGTGGAAAAGAAAAAGTCACATAAGTAAAGGAGTAAGTGTACATAAGCAGAGAGGATAACATATCCATTATGATATGCTGTAGGTTATCTCCAAAAGAATTGCTCTGCAGATTGAAGAATCTCCATTACTTGCACACCTTTTACACTGGAAACAAACAACTTTCAGTGATTTTTAAATATATACTAGCCCATTGTTTCTACCGAGGAGCTCAAATACTCCCATTGGGTATTTCCAACCATATTCTCTTCAGGATCAGATTCCCTTAAAACATGCATTCACACTAGTCACTACACTCTAGGCCAGTGGTTCTCAATCTGTGGGTCCCCAGATGTTTCGGTCTTCAACTGTTAGAAATCCTAACAGCTGGTAAACTGGCTGGGATTTCTGGGAGTTTTAGGCTAAAACACCTGTGGACCCATAGGTTGGGAACCACTGCTCTAGGCTATTCATCTGCTATCAATCTGTTACAAAAGCAACAGGTTAGCATTTTTCAATTACCAAAATGTCAGACCCCTCTTGCCTATATCACAAAACCTCTAATTGTCCAAAACACGCTTCATGTAATAAAGATAGCATCTGAGTAACTCTTTTTGAGTCTTCAAGTGAGCTTTCCATTCTCATATCAGGAAACATCTGTAATGAGATGGCATCATATTTATTATTGTTATTATTACTACTATTCACTCTAAATTGCTGACCAGATGGGTGCAAACCAAGGCAAGAATAGCTTTCTGACCAGCTGGGAAATTCATAATATTTGAACTAAAATTTTATAGCTCAAAATTCACATGAGGGGTTCCCAGTTTTTAGGAGAGACATTTAAGAACCACAGTATCATATAAAGCTCTATAAACTTTTAACGAGCACAAAGATCATTATCTGTATGTAACCCTTGGGGTCCTCGTCCCAATTACCCTGTTTAGACAAAGCCTATCTATCTCAGAACTGCCTGGGATGTTCCGTAACTCACCCCCAGATATAAAGTTATCATCATGACCATCTTCCAAGGGTGAAAGATGACCTCTTTTGATATGCTTCAAACCACTTTCTGACATTCAGAACAATTCTTTTGACCTTCTTGTAAGGTGTATTATTTTTTTCTATATTACAGAAGATTGTTTGAGACAGATTTATTGTGAGTTGTCCAAGGTTATCAAAAGAGTTCATAGACATAATGGAATAGAAACATGGGCAGTTTCTACAGACAATTCATACTCACTACTTTTAAACAGCTCTCAACATACTGAGAGTGTGTCTGTTCAAATAACAAAACCTCGTTAGCGTCTGGGCTAAAGACCTGTAGCAGATAATTAATTTATTTAGAGCATTTGTATCCCGTCCTTCTCAACTCCCAAAGGGGGACTCAGGAAGGCTTAGATAACCATATGTAAGTTCTGTCATACAGATAGATTAGGCAACTTTAAGGAGTGTCTACTATCCTGTAAGTCAGTGTTTCTCAAACTGCTCCTCCTGGTGTTTTGGACTTCAGCTTCCAGAAATCCCAGCCAGTTTACAAGCTGTTACGAATTGTGGGAGCTGAAGTTCAAAACATCTGGAGGAGCACAGTTTGAGAAACACTGATGTAACTAATCATGCCAGCATGGTTGATTCTGCATAGATTAACTGTGGTTGCATAACCTTTACAATTTTGGAAGCACTGTGAAAGAGATACTCAAAGAAGAGGGGACTGTGGGTTCCTCATAAGAATGGAGATAATCTGTTGGGATCTTCTGCAATGAAACACGAGGTTGAAGATTACAGTGACTGTTCACATGGATATGTTCTTCAAATGACCTGGAGTCAGCATTATACATTTTAAAACCAACCAATATCTTTTCAGCTATTTATGTAAACTCAGAATACCCCATTTACTATAAATCCTTTTAAATCTGGAAGGCCCTATTTAAATATTAAATTTAATTATTTAAATAAGCTTTCAGAGTAGTTACTCTAAAGGAAGAAATACTAACCAGCTGTGCTCTGGCAAATACAATTGGAAGCCCAAATGCTGAGACAACAATGCCTGTTGTAAGAAATATGGCAAGTTCCTTGCAGGCGTTACTTGTAGCATCTGTATCTTCAACTACTCTTCTTGCTATGCAGTATGGAATTGGAGAGAGGATGTAGAAGAACAGAACAAACAATGGCCAATATTGGCTAGGAGCAAAGAAAAAAGTTAATAGTTGGTTGTTTTATACCCATTCTTCCTCTTACAATCATTACCCTTAAAACACAGCTCAATCCCTTGAATAAAATAACTTTCATGATGTTTTAAACAGGATTCTTATTCCTACATTTTCACCAGAAAATACATAAGTTAGTATGAACATTTGTCCCATTTTGACTGTTTGCTTGTCTAGCTCTAAGCATTGTTTCCTAAATGATTTATTGTAATTGTAAAAAAAAAAAAATCTGAAAAGGAAAACTGGAGCCATATTCCCATCAGAATAATAGGACAGTAAAGCCAGGATACCTGATAAAAACTTTTCTTTGTCTACAGTAAGTTTACAAACTATACTCTGTGCTGGTAATAACTTAGATGTAAGACTGAACAGATACTGATGAACAGGGAAGCGTTCTGGAAGTCTAGATGGGATTACTATGTTGGAATTAGATTCTGAAGGTAAAAAATAAGATTAATCAAAGTTCCTAATGCCCCATTAAAACAAAACATTTTTAAAGAAACTAATGTTCCATCTACACCAGGGCTCCTCGAACTTTTTAAACAGAGGGCCAGGTCAAAGTGTTGGAGGACCGGATTATAATTGGGGAAAAAAATGAATGAATTCCTATGCACACTGCACATATCTTATTTGTAGTGCAGAAACACTTAAAAACAATACAATAATTAAAATGAAGAACAATTTTAACAAATGGGAAGTGTGGGCCTGCTTTTGACTGATGAGATAGGATTGTTGTTGTTGTTGTGTGCTTTCAAGTCATTTCAGACCTAGGTTGACTCTGAGCAAGGGCCGGGTAAATGACCTTGGAGGGCCGTATCCGGCCCTCGGGCAATAGTTTGAGGACCTCTGATCTACAGTCATATCATGCAGTTTGAACTGCATTACGATGGTCAGTGTAGACTTATAGAATGCAGATTGGACTCCATTGAACTGGATTATATGAGTCTACACTGCCATATAATGCAGTTAATCTGTATTCTAAAGCCGAATTATATGGTAATATAGATGGGGCCTGAGTGCAGAGTTTTGTTATTTAGCCCAGACTGGTTTGACAATGAGACCTAATATGCTAGTTTTAAAAAATAACTAATTGACAGTGGAATCTTCACTTTAACAAGAACACATTTCATAGAATCATTAGTTGGAAGAGACTTTGTGGGCAATCCAGTCCAACCCCCTGCAAAGAAGCAGGAAAATTACATTCAAAGCACCCCCAACAGATGGCCATCCAGCCTCTGTTTAAAAGCCTCCAAAGGAGGAACCTCCACCAGACTTCAGAGAAGAGAGTTCCACTGCTGAACAGCTCACAGTTAGGAAGTTCTTCCTAATATTCAGGTGGAATCTCCTTTCCTGTTCTTTGAAGCCATTGTTCTGTGTCTCAGTTTCCAGGGCAGCAGAAAACAAGCCTGCTCCCTCCCTCCCTATGACTTTTCCTCATATATTTATACATGGTTATTGTGTCTCCTCTCAACTTTTTCTTAAACAACACTTCTTCAATCATAGTTTTACAATTAATTTACTAAAGGTAGTGAGATTAAAATGCATGTACATCCAAGTATTTTAATTTAACTGGAATATGAAACTGTTCATAGACCTCAAACAATACTATAAAGCTAAATCTGTTGATGTCACTCAAGTTTTATTGTGTCTCATTCCTCAGATATACAAACAGAGGAATGCAATACTGAGCTACTCCAGCACTACATTATTCTATATAGATTTATAATGAACAGAGTGCAATTTAGTAGCAATAAAGCAGAACAATTTCAGCATGTAACTAAGTAGTCTGTTTGTTTCACCAAGAGCAGGCATGGATGGCTTTCCTTTGCTTTCTCCTAGCCTTTTAAGAATTCCTAGTGTTCTTTTTGATTATTTATTCAAAACAATTAGGTATAGAAAAAAAAAGAATTACAAATTGAAAGGAAACTAAGTCAACAGCTAACTCATATATAGATGAAAGTATACATACTTATACTGAGGAAGTGCACAGCCAAGCATCAGGAACATTAGTCCAACAGCTCCCCCAAAGGACAGGCTGATCAAAGCTATAAAGAGAAACAAAATCCTATCAGTGTTCCAAAATCTTGCTCTGCAGACAAGAATGATACACTGAAAGGAAATGAAAGTACTGTTTCTATTTCTCCCACTAGAACCTTCCAGTTAAACCGCTTTGAAATAAAAATAAGAACACTGAATACAGTTTGGTGGAAGGAAGTACATTTTTAAAAGAAAAGTATATGTCCACAAGCATCACCTTTAGATAAGCTCACAAATAAGTAACTTCAGGACAGCTATTATTTAATACACTTCTATAGCCATTTACATATTTAAATATATTTTGAAATATTTACGTATGCACATTTACATTTTATAAGGTAAAATATATTATTGACTGGTTATGTGACATGAAGGGAGGAAGAAAAAGGTGGCACCACCTTTAAGATTAAGTAGGTTTTTTTACCTTCACATAAGCTTTTGTATATATACACATGCTTCTCTGAATGCCATACCAAGTGGTATTAAGGGCTCAGGCATAAAATATCAATACAATTGTAGGAGTGTGACAAAATGTAAAAGAATCTAGAAAGCTGAACAAGATGTCCTTTGCCCTAAACTTTTAAAGGACTGTGTGATACAGCTCTTTTAGATATCTACAATGGTACAGTACAATGGTCAGTTAGTGCTGATGCATGAGAAAAAAATCTTTTCAACCCAATTTCAAGGAATCCATTCCGATCCTAAAACAGTGCTTGAGGACCACAATGGACTGGATGAAGGCGAACAAACTGAAAATCTATCCTGACAAGACAGAGGTCCTCTTAGGCAGTCGGAAGGGCAATCAGAGTATAGGGTTACAGCCTGTGTTAGATGGGGTTACACACCCCTGAAGTACCCTACTCTCGGTCCCACTCCTATCTCAGCTGCAGCTGGTGGAAACGACAGAGAGGGCCTTCTCGGCAGCGGCTCTTCAGCTCTGGAACTCCTTCCCTAAAGATATCAGAAAGGCTCCCTACCTGCTGTCCTTCAGAAAGCAAGTAAAAACTTATCTCTGGAAGGAAGCTTTTGTGGAAAGCAATGAGTACCCATTTTAAATGACAATGGATTTCGACAATGTCAATGAGATGGAACTGGTTTTAAAGGAATTGGTTTTAATGTCTTTTATCATGTATTGTTGTTTAATTTTTGTGTTTTTGATTTTTATGTATTCTGAGTTAGTATTATATCATGTCTGAACAATATAAAATTATTGCTGAGTGTTAGCCGCTCTGAGTCCCTCAATGAGGAAAAGAAGGCGGGATATAAAAAAAGATAAAGTGAATAAAACAATATTTACAATGTATATACATAATTGCTGTATATTACCTATTCAGTGATTGTGCTACTATCACACACACACACACACACACACACACACATATACTAGCCATCCCCTACCACGCGTTGCTGTGGCTCAGTCTGTGTATATGTGTTTTGTGTGTGTATATGCGTATACGTGTATGTATATATTTGTGTACATGTGTATATATGTGTGTTTGTGTATATATGTGGTTTTGTGCTGCAGCGTCTTTTTGCATTTTTTTTAGTTTTTAAAGTCCCTTCCGCTGTGTTTTCAAGTGTTTTTATGAGTGAAAGTATATACAATATATTACATTACATTATATATATGGGATCCTATTGTGGTGGTGGGGCTAGTACTTGAACTGATGCCTATCCTGCCAAATTTCCATGACCGTTCATTTTCCGGTCCCAATTCAAGGTGCAGGTTCTTACCTACAAAGCCCTGAACGGTTTGGGACTCGCCCACCTGCGTGACCGCATTTCTGTGTACGAAACCACACGTTCTCTTCGATCATCTGGAGAGGCCCTGCTCACGCAGGCACGATTGGTGGGGATGAGGGAGAGGGCCTTCTCGGTGGTGGCCCCTCAACTCTGGAATTCACTCCCTAAGGACATCAGACTTGCCCCAATGCTGGCAGTCTTTAGGAGGAGCCTGAAAACGTGGTTGTTCCAGTGTGCCTTCCCAGAATAAGGAAAGCTCTTAGCAATATGTCCTTAAATGCACTTTAATACTGACTTAGGATTGTCTGCGCACCCTTATCTATCTCTGAAAACCCTATTCTAATTTGCCTTACCTTGTTCATGCCCAGCACTTTTTGATTTTAAATTTGAATTATTACATTTGGCCCGGCCATAGGTTTTTAAATGCTGTATGTTTGCTATTGTTATTGTCTATTGCTTATTGTGTATTTTCTGTTTTTGAGTTATTTTAACTGTTTTGTATTGATTGTTGTTATTGCTTTTTGTTTATTGATGTATTGTGGGCTTGGCCTCATGTAAGCTGCATCGAGTCCCTTGGGGAGATGTTAGCGGGGTACAAATAAAGTTTTATTATTATTATTAAGTCATTATATCAAAAATGTACATATTTAAAGCATC